TATAAAACAAAAGGAGACTATACTCAATCCATGATAATTAGATACAGCTGTGCTATGCATTATATGGCAATAGAAGTGGCGTGGCCCATTGCCGGTATTCTGCGCCTGAAAATCCTCCAATGTAAGCAGGTAATCAACTGGAGGTGGTAAAATTCACGTGTGTTTTCAGAAAACTTGAAATCCAAAAAAAAAAAAAAATTGATTTTGATATTTCCAATTTGATACCACTAGGACCTAAAGAATTTGGTCTGAGAGTTCTTGGGTGTATGCATCCCCTCAAACCTTTTCCCCTCTTTCTTGGGGAAAAGACCATTTTACCCTTGCTAGTGGGGCTGTATTCCGCCCAAGAATGGGTCCATATTATGTGACCGCATAGGCTCTCTCCAATGCAGCTGCCTAGTTGGGTGCATCATGTGTGCCTGCCTAGGTGGGCCAAAGCAATGTGTCCAAGTGCTCTTCTGTGGTTTGCACGGCATTTGATAACTATGCTAACGGTATGACGAGATCCCCAATATGTATGGGCGTGATCTTTTTCCATGAGTTGAACCAAAGTGAGAAGAACTTATAAACAGTCCATAATCCATAGGCAAATGTAAAAGTTTTACTTTATCTCCTACAGGTGGTTGCTTACCTTTGAGTTCTGGTATCAAGATGCCATAAGGTTTAGGTTTTTACTACCCTCCTCACTGTGGCAACCCTTTGCAATGCTCTACCAAAGAAGGTAATTATGCAGCACCATCCCCTTCTCACAACATACGCTTCTTTTCATTTTTGCTGTACACATTTTGTTCTTCAAGCATTTCCAAAATATGGCTAAATAGAGAATCTCTTAAAGGGCTCCCCCCCGAATTACCTATTAAAACAATACAATAAAAGGTTGCACCCATTGTTAGTTCTGCAAGTGCATCTGGACGCATGAATAAAGTGTAACTCTGTAGACAGGGAGGTTCTTGTTCATTCTAGTTCTGTCTCAAGAAGAATTGCTCTCGCAATGGGCTAGTACATGGACATATGTTCTATATATAGCTGTAGTGAAGCATGTTATGCTGGTCCGTATTTAATTTTCGTGAAAATATGCATTGAAAACAGCTTCAATTTCATCTCTCATCTTGCTGTAAACAAATTTCCATAATGCCCATTTTTTCATGACTTTCTCCAAAAATTTCTATTATATCTCTCCCTTCTTTCCCTTGATTTTCCCTCACTTACATGGGTAATGGAGCAAAATGACTTCATTTGTATGTAGGTGCACTTATATTGAATGCTTCACGTGTATATACGGATGTTTGTGTGTAGATGCATGTATTCTTTACTTTAGTTTCGATGTTGATGTCTATTTGTTTGTGTTGGACTAACATAACAGGGACAAGCTTGAGCTCAAAGCTGTGGAAGATGGTTTGGTTAGCTATGCAGCACTGGAGAAGAAGGCTGAATTATACGAAAAACTTGCTAGAGGGGAGCTTTCCGATGAGGAAGACATGGAGAAGTATTGTGTTGACTTTTTCCGCAAGACTCTTGACACTGAGGAACAGTCCCAACTGTCTGAACCTGCAAATGCTCCTTCTGTGGAGGATGGCAACCTGGACGATGAAGATGATCTGTCTGTCCCTGGTATTGATGCAAAGCTGTTCAGACCTGGCCGAACTGGGGATGCGGTTGACAATAATGAGCACAAACGCTTTGTGAGGTAATCCTTGGGACAAAGCTACTAATACTGAGATATCAGTGTATTTTTGTGCTGATCTCTGAGAGAGAGAGATTGGTCCTTTTTAAGAGTTGGAAATGTCTCGATTTGCTAATCATAACAATGAAATATTAGGGTTCCAAGCTTTGCATCTCAAACACACACATGAGCACATGCAAACATATATGCATATAAATGCATGCAGGCAGATGGGAAGAGAGAAGTGATCTTTGTAAACAGTGTTATGTAAACCCACCCTCATCCTAGTTGGTGCCTTTGATATTTAAGGTGAGGGGTCTGCTTGTTATAAATTCAGTTATGGGACTATTTTAAAAGGGAAATAAGAATCAAGAAAGCAACAAATAAAAATGGGGAATTGTGTTCATGGAATCGCTTGGTAGCATAGTTATCAAGTTCGGACCAGACTACTTGGTTTAATTGGTTGGATTGTCAAAAGGTGCCTTGGATGGTCTGATTAAAAACAAAACTTGGTTTGCTAGAAAACCGGTAAAAGTTAGTGTTTGCCTAGTTTTGACAGGCCAGACCGTTTGGTTTTTTGACCCATTAATCAAAGTTGATAAGCTTAATAATATAAGGAAAATTGTTTCATGCGGGGTGGACCGCATTTTTACAATATGCAGTCCCAAGATTTTGCATCCATCTTAATGATGGATGCAAATGAGTGGTCCATCTAAAAACAATTGAAACTAACGGTCCAAATGTTTTCTTAGTAGAATTATTTTTCTTATTTCTTAAAATTTATTTATTTTTTCATATTCATGATCTCCATGTTAGAGATTACATGTTCTTAAAAATTGGGTCCGACAATCCATTTCAAAAATAGATTTTTAAGAGGTGACTCATTTCTACATGGGCTCATAGAAACTGATATTTTTAAACTACTATTTCTTTTATTTTTCTAAAGGATGTTCCAGCTGTTTTGACCATTTTGATTAGACCAGATCGTTTACTGGTTTTGTGGCCAGTCTAATCTTGATAAATATGCTTGGCAGCTTTGCTAAGCACGACCAGCCTTTAGGCATGGTTGCATAATATTGATGGGTTTTCAGCATTGGAGAGCTTTTTCCAATAGTACCATCTTACCCGTGCATAAGATCGATTCCTTCGGTGTTTTCTTCTTTTCCTGTGGCTTTTGAACTAATAGTGTTTGTTTGGGGTCAAATTGGTGTTGATTTTTTTTGTTGTCTTTTAATTGCTTTGGTTTTCAGGGAAGTTCATGAGGAGACAAATGAGGCGAGAGAGAAGGCTTCTAGTCTCAAGTTGCGCAGGCAAGTGCAGGCAGCTGCACACAGGGAGAAGTTACGGCAGGCCTATTTGAGGAAACAGTTGGAGAAATTGAAAGCTGCAAAAACTCAACAATCAAGCCCTGGTGATGCTGCAGCAAGCTAGAGAGAGAGAGAGAGAGAGAGAGAGAGAGAGGCTTCGTAGCTGTGAATACACTCACATTGTTGATATAAAAAGGTACACCTATGTCTGTATTGTTATTATTTGCAGAGGTGATGAATGGGAAATCTTCAGAATTTTATTGATTGGAACTGTAAAAACTGTTTTGTGCAGGATTCCAAATCAAGTTTTTGGGTTTTAGACGACATCTGTGAGTTTTGGTAAAAATTGTATAATGTGACCGTGGAATGTGGATTAGATATCAAAGTTTGAGCGGGCTTGAGACGAGTGAATACATTGGAGAATTAAGGCATGTATGTATGGTACATGGCATGATGCAGGGTGTGTAGGTCATTATGTATTGTTCAATTCTGATTAGGGCAAGTGGATGAATGCCGATCACAGTGAGTTCCAGGTGATGATCACCGTTTCTCAAAATGGAAAATGTTGGACGATTTTCTTGTAAGGTATTCCGACATGTAGCGGTTCAGGAAGGTTAGGACCAAGTTGTTTCAAGCCCATGTAAACCATTTGGAACTTGTTCAGAAAATTGGTTGACGCTTAAGACCACATATTTAATGAACTTCGTATTTCACCACTATATGTTTTTACCAAGCAAGCTTTGAAAGGGATTGTATAGAAAGAGTACATGAGGGCGCAATCATTATTATCTGTTAAATTTTAAAATGGTTGGTTGTAAGAGAGTCATTGAATAGACATAAAGTTCTAAAAAATATATTATTGGATTTGTGATTCACATCAAGCTATCTAAATTGACATTTAATGAGTATGAATGATTTTGACTTCTATATACAAAAGATAAATGGTCTTTTTGTATACAATCATGTGGAAAGGATCTTGTGGTCCTATTTGGTCTTGTGGTCCTATTTGATCTTGTGGACAAAACACCCAGGTCATGGAATTTGATGGACCCCTAAACTTTTTAATTTGTCTTTATAAAATTTGGACACGGTTTTTATGCGGCCAGCCCCGTATATTGTACAAATACGGTCTTGGTAATAAATATATATTTTAAATATAATTTGATTTTAATTTTTAAAGAATATATTATCTTTAACATGGAGATCATGAAAATGAAAAAAAAATAAAAATAAAATAAAAAACTAGAAATAATAATTATATTAAAAAAATATTTGAACTGTTAGCTACACTTGTATTTAGAAGAATCGCCTATTTACATCCGATCTTTAAGAGGGATATTTTATAGCTATGGGATAGATGCTTTATGCCTTTACAATATGCGGTCTAGACTGCATGAAACACATTTTCATTAAATTTATGATCTATTAGCTTTTTTGAAAAGTATGGATTCGAAGAGCAAAAAGTGCCAACAAATCAAAATTTATTCTGAACTAAATTTGATCCTCCATTTTAATGGATGTCAGATGTTAAGGAATTTTGAGCTCGAAGGCGTTTGTGAATAAATTGATCTCGAGTGAAAGATGTTAAATAGGCGATATATTTAAGAACTCAAAAAAAGAAAAAAAGTCCTTTTTTAAAATTACTCATCTGGTGATTATAAGCTGTTCCCAAAATGTTATATCAAACAAATCCTCCTCAGTGGGTGCCTCAGGGAGCCACTGGATGTTATACTCTTGCTGACTTGCCCCTTTGTGTGGGGGTGGCAATGAACGTGACCGGACTTGGGACCGATGGGTAGACCCGACCATGGGTTTGGGTATGAGTTTAAGTTTTGGACCCGACAGTTCGGGTCTGGGTCCAAAACTTGGACCTGAACACCATTCGGGTTCGGGTCTAGGTCTAGTCAGATCCGACCTGTATTTGTAAAATACTTTACTTTAAGCCTTATTTGTTTTGGTGTATTAAAGATCACATACAATAAGAACTCATAATCATCTTTAGTTAATAAACGACAAATTAGACGGCTTGAAATCTAATGGTGGGTGACTGTGACCTTGTTGCAAATAATATAGATATATCATGCTAAAAAAACAGGCAAAAAAATATAAACTCATAGTCATAGGGTGGCAATAGACCCGATCAGACCCGGGACCCAACGGGTAGACCCAGGACCCACGAGTACCGGTAGGCGTCCAAATTTTAGACTTGACGGGTCGGGTTTGGGTCTAAAACTTGATCCCAAATACTATTCGGATCTGGGTTCAAGTCAGTGTCCAGCTATACCCTACCCTTACTTGACTTGTTGCCACCCCTACCTTTGGGTCTTCTAGCTTACAAATCCTCGTCCGATTTGATCCCAAAGGCCTGGGCTTTAATGACAATTATTGTTATTGGGATAATAGCGACAAGAGTTTATTTATGTATTATTAGGTTACTGGTAATTTATTGTAAATTTAAAATATTCAAAATATATTTACTATGTATTTTTTATTAAGTAATAGCCAAATATGGACATGCAAACAAAATTTTCCATGAAAATTTCCCATATTTTAAAATGGTTGGACCTCCCACTCTTCATATTTACCACAAAAAAAGGAAAATGTTGTTTTTAAAGCAAGCCTTTACTTCATGCCAATATTATATAGACAGTGACATAAGTGCCTAAAAAGCCAGTACGGCGAGACATGTCTATATGTTTATTTTTTTATAATTAAAATATTGTATTAAACATAGTATCTTATTATTCGTTTAACGATTGACGAGCTAGTATAATGTTTTTCGAAAAATGTTTTTGTTAGGGCGCATGAGTAAAGCTCCACCTCAAACTGCAGCTTTTTTCAAATCAATCGTCTATACCTTGACATATATAGTTGTAATAAAAAATAGGATTTTAATTTTTTAAAATAGTGTATATTGTAACACGTTATTTAAACCGCTATTTCACTATAGAAATAACTGTTCATAGATTCACAAGATTTGTATATTCTTTTAGCTTCAAATTTCATATTTGTTGTTAGAAACTAATTTTAGAACTATTATGGAGATTTTCGATGCCGGAAGTGCCTTCTAGATGAGATTCAAGGTGGGGCCTTACTTTGTTTCCATAAAGCTTAGGCCTTATAAAAACTGCATCGATCTTGTAAGAGTATTGAGATGATATATTTTTTTTTACAACTAACAAAATATTATATTAATTATTCCCTTCTTAATTTCGGTGATGTAGTAGCATGGCACACTAGGGAACAAATGGAGAGTTGTTCCATTCCTACCGTAGACCAGTGTACCATACTTGAAAATGATAATCTCAACAGACCTTTCACCGTCACGGCCCGGACCTGAGTTAGCACTTGCTTAAATGTCGATGTCAAAGGACCTTTCACAGTTACGATCTGGACCTAAGTCAACGTATGTTTAATGTCGATATGTATTGACATGCCACACCAGTCTACACATGGAGCGTCAGGTTGGCACTACTTCATGCTTCCTGTAAAAAAAAAGAACAAAAAAAATCAATGAAATCATCTTTTATGGTAGGTATCAGTCAATTACAAATCATTTCTATTTTTTCTGGTGGGTTGGCATTTTAAGTCAAACCCAACGTTAATAGGAATATAATTTACTGCGATTTTATCAAGAAGCTCTTAATTATTTAGAGAATTTCATATTATCATAATAATATGCAGATAATATCGTCTTCATAAATTATCATGAAAAAATCCGATAATTTCATATTATCTACGATAATTGTCACTAAATTATGGGCCCTTACATGTTACCCTAACGCCCAAAAATTGCTTTATGTCACGTTTTAGACTGAAGGACTAAGGTGATATGAGATATTGCATTTTTATGACTTTTTTTTAGAAAAAACAAAATGACAAAATAAATTTTACTAAAATATATATATTTTTTTAACTATAAATTTTACTAAAATCATTGAGCATCTGCTTACAACCTGGCCAAAAGAATATTTTCTTTTGAGGGGGCACTCTGGCTATTTATTCACTTGGAAAAAACCTAATCTAGGAGTATTTTAAGACTCTGTACTATTTTCAAAACTTGAAATCTATTTTTTCTCATGTTTATGCATCTTGATTTCGAGATGATCAATTTGAGAGTATTTGGGCATCAAAACAACCTCTTCTAGTAAATTTTTTGATATGGACTCTAAATTGATTGTTTAGAGCCTTGGCTCTATATAATTTTTTTTCATAAAAGAAAGTTGATTGTATACGATGAGACTATTGACGTATTGTAGGTCACACTTATAACCATGTGATGTGATTTTGACAGCTTAAAAGTTCGAAAACAAATTCTTTTAAACTTTGAGTTTGGTTGATGAAATAAATGTAACCATCCAATTTCACATCTAATAGTCAAGACTAATTGTGCCCACCTTGTACAAGGGTAAGCTGTCTCATTGTGTATTTTTCCTAAGGGAAATTTTGAAATTGCATTATCTATGGGTTTGAAAATTATAATGTGTCACGATTGAATAGTAAACACCCAAGTTTTGAAGGGTGAGACCTAAATGCAAAAGAACTCAAAATTCAATGTTTTCATTTCAAGTTTTAGGTGGCTTTCAAAAATTCAGACCAAAAAATCTTCCCAAGTCAGTTTTCTACTGGAGGAATAACGGTACATTATGCTCCCATAGGAGCACAACATAAGCTCTCTACAACCTAATTCTTGTCAAGAAATCCAGCTCCTTCGGGCTATTTTTTTTGTGGAAATGTGACAATTTCCTCCACTGTTTCTCTAAAAATAAACCATTTAGATTTTTTTATTTCCGTTGTTCATCACTTTCATTTAATTGTTCATAAATCATAAAATTTACACTGTTGTTTAAGTTGTAAAATCATGCATCTAGAGTGACTTTTGTCTTATATGAATTTTTTTTGGAAGTGGATTGCTGTTGAATAACACTTTATTTTAACTTTTTCTTACATATTATTTTAACCTCGGAGTCATCCATCTTATTTTAAAGAGAAATTAAAGTGGTGACAAGTTTTCCTTGAAGAAATTTTAAAGAGAGATAGAGAAACTCTTTGATAAAATAATTGTACCCCACACAGTGGTTATTTCATTGTATAAATGAATGTATTACAATAGTGTAATATTCATTTTTTTATCTTGTTATATGCAATATCCACTTTCCTATCTTGTTGCATTCTCTTCTCAAAAAGAAATAGTAAGTCACTTTCCTACTCTGTTTGAATTTTGTTTTTATTACTCTCCCTCAAACTCGGCGGAGGAGGCATTTGAAGCTCGAGTTTGAAGCAAAGATCTCGAAAAACATCACGTAACAAAAGCTTGATATCAGAGCAAAACATCGATCCCAATCTCAAATTTTCACATTATAAGTTGTTCGTCAATCCAAAGTAAGTCTCCCACTACCCTTTCATTACATGTTTCGTTTTGGAAAGTTCTTCATAGAAATTTCATGCGAATTTTATTTTATTTTCTCCTTCTACGGCTAGATCTCCTTGCACATTTATTTGCATCCATCGTTTTTGCACCCATCTTGAATTCATCGTTTTGCATAACTTGGAATCCATCATTTTCCATACTCATTTGAATCATAGTTTTGCATACCTTTTAATTCATCGTTTTGCATACCTTTGCATCCAGCTTGATCAATCGTTTGGCACCATTCCAAATTGAGCTTATTGGAGGAGGCATTCCATAACTAATCACAAACTCTACTATTATTTTGTCTTCACGTCTCAAATAAAAGACTCATCTATACCATCAAAACGATCCATATCATCTATAACACATAAAG